TTCATGGTTTTTTTTATTTTCAATATGAACATAACATTTTTCGTTATCAAATTATACACGAATCGTATATATTCGAGTAATTGACATGTATATCGGATATTCTAGGTTCTCTAAATCGTCTTGGAGTTCAGTTGATTTGTTCTACTATATCAACCAAGACTGCAATAATGTCTGTAGTATCGAAATATGTCCAAACAGATTCAAAGTGTCTATGTGGATCGTGCCCGACCTATTTTCGTGCATGTCAAATGTTCTAGGATTTCCATATCGATATTTCGATATTATCGCAGTCTTTGTTGTTCTAGTAAAACAAATCATCTGAACTGCAGGACGATTTGGAGAACCTAAATCATCTGGTATACGTGGAAATAAATCATTATCCATATAGACACTATGAAGATGTTTAGACATATTTCGATACTACAGACTTCATTCCAGTCGTGGTTGATCTAGTAGAATAAATCATCTGAACTCCAGAATGATTTAGAGATCCTAAAACATCTGCTATACATAGCAATAGTTCATTCATGATCCACATAGACACTGTGCATCTGCCGCGAAATATTTCGATACTAAAGATATTGTCTCAATCTCGGTTCATCTAGTAGATCAAATTATTTGAACTCCAGGACGATTTGAAGAACCTACAACATCTGGATTACTCGGAAATAGATCATGCATGATCCACATAGACACTTTGAATCTGATTGAACATTTTTCGATACTACAGACATTATTGCAGCCTTGTTTGATCTAGTAGAACAAATCAACTGATGTCCTCGACAATTTACAAAGTCACATAAACAATTCGGTTATGATTTGACTACGAATAGGTTCATAGTAGATATAAAAAAATAATGAAAATGTCTCACCATTGGACAGACACCAAGGAATATCCGTGTAAATACAGAACACGACGTGAACATTTAGGGTGTCTTATGAATCGCTGGTAATTTCTCAATTATGTGCAGGGTGTTTGGTTTGAATCCGTCAAAATATGAGAAAACTACAGCCAAATTAACTAGAACATTTAGAACAGCATAATACGTCAGAAACGCAAAGGTTAACTTTTTTTCATTTTTTTTTTTAAATAATGTTTCATCAAATTTAGGCCGGTATTATTCAATAGAATCTTATAGTATTTTATTATGTTCACTAATTACTCAGAATTTATACTATACATTGTTATTTTTTTTTTTCAAATGTTACAAATGGTTCTATAACATTCCCCAGAATCTCATTCCCCAGAATGCACCATTCCCCAGAAAAGCATTCCCCAGAATGAACCATTCCCCAGAATGAACCATTCCCCAGAATGAACCATTCCCCAGAATGAACCATTCCCCAGAAAAATATGACATGTATTAGATTTACTATTTTTGTTTATTATAGTCACTCCTGGAATCTTCTTTCGTGTATAGAAGAAAAACTTCTTAATGGGTCAAGGGGTTTTAGGAGACCTTAATGGATCAACGGGTTTTCCCTTCTTTGAAAATATAAGAAAAGGAAATAATTAATTCTTTGGATAAACGATAAAGAAGGGAATATTACTTTCTTTGAAAATATAACAAAAGGAAATAATTAATTCTTTGGATGTACGATAAAGAAGGGAAAATTCCCTTCTTTAAATATATAAAAGAAAACATCATTATTTCGCTAAATATATGATAAAGGAGGGAATATTTTCTTCTTTGAAAATATATGAACTCGAAATAATTAATTCTTTGGATGTATGATAAAGAAGGGAATATTCCCTTCTTATAATATATAAGGAAAATATACAATCAATAGCTTTTCGCAAGGGATTCGGGGTAATGACCATTTGGTATAATAACGAGTGTAACAATGTTATAAATTTGTAATCGGTAGTTCAACGTTCCATGCACCGATTTTTTAATCCATCACGAGAAATTCTTCAACTCAGATCGAACAATTCTTCGATAAGGTTTAACAGTTTCCGACTGATGGAATTGGATTGCATAATAGACCCTTTGACTTATTAAATGATGAACGAAGTGCTCGAAAACTTGAAGGTTGTCATTTTATAAAGAGCTAAAAATGGTTTGGAATTGATAAATACATAGTTCCATAAAAGTAAACTTAGTGTATTATCAATAGTAAAAAAGAAAAGAAAAGTGAAAATTACTAATTTCATCAACTTTTCTGGGAAATGGTACATTCTTGGGAATGTTTTTCTAGGGAATGGTACATTCTGGGGAATGTTTTTCTGGGGAATGGTGCATTCTGGGGAATGGTTTTCTAGGGAATGGTTTTCTGGGGAATGTTATAGAACCGTTACAAACGATACTCCTTTAGCTCAGTCGGTAAAGGCGCAGCTACAAAGCTGGAGGCGACTGAGTTCGTTTCCCGTCCGGACTATTAATTTTTCGGCTTGGCATAGAAAGCTCTCAATTAAAATGTGAAAGTACTTCAAAGAACACTAAGTTGAGAGCAGACAAAAATCTAATATGCTATAAGCAATAAGCTTGAAATGCCATGTAGTAGTATATAAATGGTATTTTTAGGAAATGAAAACAGTTTTTTTTGTCGCGGATTAGTATTTAAAGTCGCGGATTTCTTTTGAGAAACCGCGGATTTCGCGGATCAAATTAAGAAAATCTTGTAACAGCCCTGGATTTAACAGAGTTTTTCCTTTAAGAATATGTACAACATGTTGACAGAAACCGTTTGACAGCCAAGAAAATCAATTTAGTCGTGGTATTGACAATGTTTGCCCACTGTGCAGTGGTTCAAAAGTTAAAAATCTTTGAAAAAAGTCATTTTTGACAAAAACGATTTTTTGGACCACCCTAACGACGAAATGAAAAAATATATATATATAGGTCTTATATTTTGCGATAAGGAACAAAACTAAATTTTTTTACGAAATTCTGACTCTGAGTACCACTATAACTTTTTGCTATGGAATGGCACGAACCAAAATGTTGACATAGCACAATCTTGTATGTATTGGCGTAGGTCAAATATTTAAAATTAATTATGTAAAATACTTGCAATACAAATACTTACGTAAAAAATGACAAAGAGCATAATTTTTATGGTTTACCAAGGACGCAGTAAACCCTCACTACGTCCCTGCCATAGAATAGATCTAGTTCATCTGAACATGCCCATGACGGCAACCTTCCAGATGTTATGTTAGGGCAATCAATTCAAAATCAATGTCACGCTGCCGGCTGAGTGGATTCTGAGCAGAGTTTTGTCCCACTATATAGGTCTTGAGACGGAAACCTTCTACCTAGTCCATCTGAGGGCAAGCAATTCAACATGAATGTCACACTAGTGCTGCCTGGTGAGTGGATGAACTGAACTGAACTCTTTACCATTAGATGGTTCATCAAGACGGAAACCTTCTATCTAGTTCATATATTAAATTAGAGCGAACAATTAAAAATTATTGTCACACTAGCACCGTCTGGTGAGTTAATTCTGAGCTGAACTCTCTACCATTAAACAAATTTTTTTTATCTCAACAACTTTTCCGAAGACGCGAATCTTCTATCTAGTCAAGATGTTGAGTTAGAAGAAACAATTCAAAATGAATGGCACACTAGCGCTGCCAGGTGAGAGAATTTCGAACTAATAATTAATAAATTAATATCAGACTAGAGCAACAACATCCTTTATGCTGGGTTTAGACTAGGCAAGTCAAATGATCAACTCAGTTGAATTCAATTGGCTTGAAAAGTTGAGCCTGGTTCAACTTTTTTCAATTCAAGTGTGTTGATCAAGTCAGTTGAATGGCATGGTTTAGACGTTCAATTCGCGTTCAAGTCAGTTGAATTCAACTGACTTGATCATTTGACTTGCCCTATCTAAACCCAGCTTTATAGTTAGGATCTCGTGATATAAGCATTTCTAACATTAAAATAAGACCGCTCCCCGAGCTTTTTTTTCAAGGGGAGAATCCCTCGAAAAAAAGCCTGACAATTTAAACATAAAGTTAATTAAATTTACTTTGCCAATCATTTGAAATTTCAGAAATCCTTTAAAATTCGTTAAGATACGGCAGTTTGAATTTAGGGTCAAATTGACCCCATGCTACAAACAACGTAAGTATTTTAATAAAATGTTTCCAATATATTTTCAAGTATTTTGAAGCTTATTTCATCTTATATTATAGAGCTCTAGTGGACGCGAGTCACGAAATAATTGGTAAAATCCATCGACAAATAAAAAAGTTGCAGCCTTTCAAGTGGCCTGGCGTCAAATTGACCCCAAGATCAGACAAAGGATTAAATAAACAAACAGAAAAAGTGCTTCAGTTTCAAATTTATCAATTGAGAGCTATCTATGCCAACCAAATGCAAGAATATATGTATTTTGGTGACAAGTTCAAACCCAAACCAAAGTTTTCTATACTGGACCGGTAATCCTCTGACTTGGTAATATAGCGCTTTGACTGGCAAGGCTATCTGTGTCGAAACCAATTTGATTCGTAAAATGAATCATTGAATACATTTCCAACACTACATTTCAGAATCAGAATGTGCACAGCTTTCTTTCACAATCGTTAGAAAATCCTACCTTTCCTGGTTGGGTGAGGCGTAATAAAGGTACGGCATATTCCTCCAGACAGACAAACATTAAACATCCTTCGGCTACTGTTGGAGTACACCCGGACTACTCCTGGCTTCACCCGTACACAACATACAATCAATATGATACTGAGCAGCAACAACAACAACAAACACCGAGGCAGAAAGGTATGCCGCCAGGGTGAAGGTTGCCTAAGCAGAGCCGATATTTTATTAACGTCGGTGCGTCTTTGCTCCATGGGGTCCTCTCGTAAAATAAAGAAGGAACCACTCGGCCGTATTCAAATTACACTTCTCCAAGTCATGCAACCCTTACGGCCATTTGTTGTTGGTTCATGTGTTTTTTTTTTACATCATCTACCTATTTGCTCCAGTTGCTTTGGCATTCGTTGGGGTAGGTGCTACTGCTCAGTGGGTAAGTAGAAATATATAGCTATGTACCTGGGTCATAAATTCCCACGTCGATATCACATGTAACCTGCCAGTTTCCGATGTATGCGTGCCGAGGGAAGAAAGAACTTTTGATCTAGTAAACTTTTGGCTGAACGCTCCGCTAGCTCGACAATCGTCTGAAAAATAATTCACTGTGATGTACGGAGCTTGTTTTCGGTTGTACATCATCCAAAGAAAAGGGACACGGAAAAGCAAGGCTTTTATTCACGTTTCAACATTTTCTTCTCGGTCGTCACTGCCTTTTACCAAGGAAAATTATGCCTTCGTGCTCAAAACACTCCACTACTTTTTGAACGTCTCACCACTGCTGCCACCCCGAGAACCGCTCCCTTCATTCTTACTCTCTCGCTGCCTTTTGTTAATACTTCCTGTTAGTTCAGAAGCTTTTTATTTTTCACCACAATTCAAATTGAAACTGCCCTACTCCGCACCGCGTTCGGCTTTTCACGCGTCTATTCCCCTGTAGCATGAGCAATCGTCCCCTGCATTCCCAGAACCATCCACCGAAGAACACCCACGCTAATCACCTTCCCCGAATCGAGCGCACCCGCGAAATCGAACACCGCGATGCGACAAGCCGTGACCAAATCATGCGAGGAAAATTTTATTAGCGAAATGGAGAACGTCCTCCCCGTCGTCCGTCTTGGCCGTTTTGTTTTGGCCCTCACAGCCAGACTCTCCACAGCATTAGGCTATTTTTGTAATGGTCGCACTTTTATGAACACACATTAGAGGGAAGAAGAACAAAAAACACCCAGCGACGTTTCGTCGTGAACGCAAATCCTAATCCCGATACAGCGTGTTGCGCCACCGTCAGCAGCCGTAGGAAAACTGAGAGATTCCTTTGCACGAACTCGGCCGGAGTCCTCAAGGATGCGTTTTCCGACTGTGCCGAAGCGAGCAGAGATTTTTCCACCCAGCTTCGCTGATGCTCTCCCGTTCGCAAAGGTATCGATTAGGATTTTCTCCAGCTCTTTGATATTTCCACCAGCGAGCGACGAGCAACCAAAACACATGATGCATGATGCATTATACGCAGCCGGAGCATGAGAGGGAACCTGTCCTGCTGAGAGTACACGGAAAATTTGCCCTACACTGGATGAACCGTACGGGATTCATGCGGTACACGGAAAATTGGAGTGAAGCGGTCCGGTGTTTCCCCTAAACAGAACGAATCGGCAGGGAAATTAAAGGGGACGCAGATTATGTTTTGTGATGTCAAGCGATGTAGTGTGAACATGCGACGTATATGGCAATGTTGTGGAAATGAATGCATAGATGTGCGGAGTGATGCATTTGAGTACACACGAAATTGTGATTTGAGTTTTCAGGAATCTTATTGCCTAAGCTATCGCGTGGTCCCTCCCCATGGACATGGAGGTTGACGGTACTGAAGCAAAGGGTTATATTTAATCTCTTTATATTTGCAACGATGATAATTTCCTATAGTGACACATATCACCTTCTGGATGCTTCAGTATGCCTCAAACGATTAATTCTTGGTTGTTAATAGAACTTCCTTGATGAAATCGGCTGATTCATGCAGACTGAGCAATTCCGATTATAGTATCAGATTTGTTCTGTATACAGAGGAACTGGGAGGGCTTATAAGAAACTTCTCACCAATAAAGTAATGATCTTCTAGTAAATTTAGCATATAATTTTATTAATATTTTATTTTTTTAAGCATATTATTTTTGTTACAGTCAATTAGCATTAGCATACGATACAAGGGATTTAATATTACTTGCTCGTTTTTGTGTAAAATAATCAATATTTATTTTACTAGTAATTACCTTTGAAATTTTTTTTCAAGTTTTTTTTTGTGATCTGAAAATTTTCCCAGTTTGGTTAGAAGTTTCGAAGCTAACGCATGTCCACAGGCCTAATAGACAGATAGACAGAAAAAGTGTATCATGAAGAATGCTTGCATCCAGGGTTGCTTCCTCTCACTAGCTATAGATGAGTGATTTTCGGAGTTTTGAATTCTTTAGATGTTGTAATGGAGATTTGTGTTTTTGGATGCGGGAAGAGATTGAAGGGCGGGTGTTTAGCGCATGGAGCCTGTCAATTTCGTTTTCAGAGTGTCGCAGTCAGCGGTTTTATGATTCGTGAGCGCTCGCGATTCGTAGAATCATTGATTGTGCCTGCAAGTGGATTTGGCGGATTTTGTTTGTCGGACACTTGCTTTTTGGCCTCTTCTTGTGTCTAACATGTGCAGAGTATCATTATAGCGCCTAATGGTTTTGAGATTCCTGGTTGAGTGAAATATATTTGTAAGAATATCTTTTTGAAATTTTAGTTGTCACGTTTTGTTTGTAATTTATATTTTATTTCTTTTATGTAACTATCGTAAATAATAGTTATTCAATAATAGATAGTTCATCCATATATTCGTGCTTTGACGCGAAGTGCTGTGGATTATGAGATGCTCGATGACCCTGGAGGGATCGATTTTGCTTACTGAGCAGAAAATCATGGATTTAACCCCAAGCTCTTCCACAGCACAATAAATCGCCACCATCATTTGCATATTTGATATTGAACATTAACCTCGGAAACTATTTGCATATCAAGCGAAAACGTAGTCCTGTATTGTCGCGAAGCGTTATGGTTCTGAGATGCTCGATGACCCTAGAGGAATCGTTTTTGCTTACTGAGCAGAAAATCATGGGTTTAATCCCAAGCTCTCTGTCATGACTCTTAAAATTCATGATCATTAAACAAAATTAATATGTTCTTACGATAGCCAGCTATCGAGAGATTAACTAAACAACAAATAAACAATACATACTTTTGGTTGCATCGCCAACTTGAGGTGAATCCTAACCGAATACATTATCCAACCCTCCAACTCCGTAGCACTTATGAGGATGTCGCTAAGTCAGTGGCGTCTCGTTAAGAAAGTACTACATCAACATTCCCTTCCCTATCCCTAGTTATGGTAAAGATGGGCGTGGCCGGGAATAGCTTCTGTTACTCTTGTTTAGATTGGAACCAATGTTTACTCCCCAGCATTATTCGTGAAAGTAGTCTAACTGAGAATTTCAGAAGAGGCGTGAGTGTCGTTAGTATCCAATCTACAAAGTATATCATAACAACGCTAACGCTAACGCCAGCCTTGCCTAAGCTATCGCGTGTTATTTACTAGGTGGGGTGAAAAGTAACCTCCTTGGGAATGAAAAAAAAAAATTTTAAATGTTTTTTTTTTTATTTTATTCAATATAGTCCTCTTTTAGTTCGATACACTTATTCCAGATACATTTTTTCCAACTTCATGATCCCGTCCAAAAAGTAATTTTCCGGAAGGTCTTCAAAATACTCCTCCGCGGCGTTGATAATTTCCTCACGTGAGCTGAATTTTTTATATTGATGAACCATCTTTTCAGGTTTGGGAAGAGATAATAGTCAGAGGTAGCCAAATTGGGTGAATACAGTGGATGCGGAAGCAATTGGAGCCGTAAGTCATCGATTTTAGCCGTAGTTGCGATGCTCTTCTGCGCCGGCACCTTGTCTTGTAAAAACAAATTTTTTTACGCTTTATGTGAGGCCGTTTTGCAGCGATTTCGGCCTTCAGTCGCTCCAATAATGCACAATAATACTCGCTGTAGATGGCTTTTCCTTTTTCGAGGTAGTCCACGAAGAGTGTGCCATGATAATCCCAGAAAACCGACGCCATAACCTTTCCGACCCATCGAGCCTCCCTCGGCCGCTTCGAAGCACTCGTGCCGGCTTCAGTCCACTACCGGGCGCTCATTATATTCTCTGGGGTGTAATAGTGGATCCAGGTTTCATCAACAGTTATCAAACGACACCTAAAGTCCGCCCGATTCCTAATCATCAAGTCCAAACAGTCTTTCGAAGTGCTCTCGCGTTCTAGTTCTGGAGTGAGCTTGCGTGACACCCAGCGGCAGGATAATATTTTCATATGCAGAATCTCGCCCAAAATATGGCCTGTGCGCTCAGTACTAATCTTGCGGTATCTGCTAGCTCGCGCACCTTCACTTTCCGATCAGCCAACACCATTTCACGTATTTTTTTTAACATTGTCCTCTGTAACCGCATCGGAGGGCCTGCCGCTGCGGACTTAATCGGTAGTGGAGTTGCGGCCACCACGAAACCCTTGAAACCAATATTTGACAGTGTAATGTGACGGAGCATTAGCCCCATAATATTTATCCAACTTTTGTTTCCTTCGCCGTTTTGCCTCTCAAAAAATAATGTGTTATGAGATAATGAAAATCGTTTTTATCCATACTCAACATGATGTCAAACAGTCAACAACAATCAGCTGTCAAAACAAAACTACTGTCTTTTTATGTTAGTATGTTTACATTCAGCACCATTAACACCATATCACATACATTAAAGAGCCTGAATTTATAAAGAGACGACATGTCAAAATTGGAACAATCGATTATCTGTCAAAGTCATAAGCGAACCCCACACGGTAAGAAATATTGTCAATACTTACAAGTATTGACCATAATATTGATGATGTGAATACAGAAATATTGTCAATGCCGATGTATTGACGTCAATATAAAATGTATTGACAATACGATTATTGTCAATAAAAGCAATCGTGTACGGTCCACAATAGGAAAAGTCATTCTAATCGAGCAGAAGACCTGTCAAATGGATAAGATGTCGCCTCTTTATAAATTCAGGCTCTTTAACATACACTTCAAGAATCACTTCAATACCGGAATCAACATTACCTCTACATTACCAAAAAATTTAAAATCTCAACTATTTCTTCATTTAAATCAACTTCAACATCTTGATGTTTTGTTCCATCTTCAGCACGGCCATCTACTTCAACATTATTATCAACTTTATTTTTTTCCCTTTGGTTTGTTTGCCGACGATTTGTGATATTCATGAAAATCTATGAAGAAAGAGCTGTCGCACGGCATGTTTTTGAGTAAACACGCAATTGCCCCTACTACAGGTTCCCTCGGGGGTATACTGGAGGTCCCGAGAGCGGCCAATGTGGTCACTAATCCATTTAAAGTCTATAAAAAGCCTATTCATGAAAAAGCTTGCAGAAAAAGCTGTCACACGGCATGTATTGGTGTAAAAACGCAATTGACCCCTGCTACAGGATCCCTCGGGGGTATCCCGTGATTCCAAGAGCGGCCAATGTGGTCAATGATGCATTTAAAGTATATCGAAAGTCTATTGACGAGAAACCATGAAGAAAGAGCTGTCGCACGGCATGTTTTGAGTGCTTAAATGATCTGCCCGCATTCAGGAACCCTCCACCAGAACTGATTCCAGGGAAATGGCCATATCTCGGTTGATTATAGGCCGATTTTAGTTCTTGGCATATGATTCGCTTTGAAAATGGTTTTTCTTTCGTTGTATTTACTAAAAATATATATATTATAAATATATATAAATCTACCAAAAATTTAGCAAGTTAGACAAGCCCTCCGGAAACCCAGAATATCTCCGGTATCCGGTGACCAAAATTATTTTCGTGACCACCCCGTAGAACAATATCAGTTTTCCAGTCAAATGCTTTTAGAAGATTTAAAATCGGATCATATTTGACGAAGTTACAACACTCCAAAGTTGACCAAAAATTTGCCTATCCTAGTTATTTTGAGTAACCCCTGTATATAGAAGGAAGGACTACTGGGGTGATGTCAATCTATCCAGCAGACCACTTTTCACAAAAGTTGATAAAATTATGTTTTTCGTAGTGTACCAACTGCGTAATATTTTGAGATGATTTAATCATCAGCAGTCCACGAAATTGTCACAAAACTACGTATTTTCTGAAATAATTATAAAAATTCAATT